ATTTCACAGAAATCGGTTCAGTAGTTTAGGCGTGAAGAAAAGACAGACAGACAAGCAGACAGAGATACTTTCGCATTTATAATATTACTTAAAGTTTGGATTACTCCTATTACGTTTTAAGATAATATTTTTATTAATTTTGTTCATAACCTGGTAACAAAACTTTTACATTCAAAAGAGTTCCAATTTGCATGCTATTTAAACACCTCGCTTCTACATCTAACCAGTCTTCCTATCCTAGCTTGTAATAGCTAAGAAGTTCATAATAACTGATAGTTGATGGAGTTACCCTCGTGTTTAGATGTGTGCAAACCTAATAGAATAGTTGACTAGTTACGAACTTCTAGCACTTAGTCGACGGACGTCCGTTAATAGTAAGTTATTAAGAACTTACTAATCTATATTTGAGTGTCTTGTTGGTGTAAAGTTTGTGGAAATGAGTTAATGTCGCGAGAAATAAGAATGTGAGTTCCAAAAGCCAAAAACTCTTAAGTGTGGGACTCAACTATTAAGTGTGGGAGAGCCATGCTAAGTATGGGAGAGCCATGCTTCAGCACGAATGGGTCGCCTCGACCGGAGTTATACCACGGCCTAACAGAAAACCGGCGTGAAACAACCACACCGTTGTGTTTCGCCGTGTAAGTGAGGTTACCGGGGGCCCAATCCCTTCCCAATCAAATCAAATCCCAATCACTAAAAGGTCGGCCACGCACTCGTAACTCCTTCTTTGTTGTGGGTGTCCATGGGCGACGCTGATTGCTTATCATCAGGTAATCCGTCTGGTCGTTTGCCGTCTTATCACATAAAAAAAAACTCATAGTTTGGTCGTGCCATCATTTTTGGAGAGCCTTCAAAAATAAAACGGTTTCATATATTGTCTGCAACGCATTTGTCATTACTTGTGGTAACCCTAATGCTGTTAAAATACTTTGTCAAAGTCAAAATCAAATAATTTATTTCAATCAGGCCATTTAGTACTTTTGAACGTCGAACAAAGCTTAAAAGACAAAAAGTTAGTCTTTGGGTTAGTACTCTAGTGAAGGTACTCGTTCGTTCCAAAAATCCAAAGTGTAGATTCTTATGGAGAAGAAACTTAATAATTACAGTTGAATGAGACCAATATGGCGGATATTTTATTAATCACGACTTACTCTCAGCTGAAGAAAGATGTGTGTGTTAGAACATAAAACCAGATTCAACTTCGAAATATAAAAAAATATTATACGTACTTACAAAAAGCAAAGTTTATCTGCAAAACACCTTCTACGTAGCTTACACGGAAGATATTTTGTTTGATTAAGAGGAACCGTTCCTTTGAAATATATCTCCACATCCAAGATATATTAGTGTGTGCTCTACAAAAGGCTTGAACATAAAAGATAAAAGACTTCAGAGACTTTTTTATCGGTTAAAAAAAGTTAGAAGTTCAGGGCCGAGACCCAGAACCATTTATTGCACTCAGCCTCAGACCATGACCTTTGAAACTATTTCTGTGAGATATTGAACTGAACTACAACAGCAATTTAAACGATGGATCTGAACGTTTTCCATTTTTATTCGAGTACTGCTACATTGCATTTCTCAGTTCTATCTATACCTAGGTATGATATAATATCTGTATATTAAGATGGAATCTTAGTAGACGAAGGTTATATATAAAACTTTCAATATTTTTGGGAATCATATTTAAACGAAAAATGGCTCCTTCACATTAAATACCCCTTTTATGGCTTTTAGCCGCGCCTCCATTCGCGTGGAATAGTGACTTCCTGTAAACTTTTGGTGTAAAAACTATCCTGTTTCCTTTCTCGAGTTCCAAACTATGTCGGTACCAAATTTCACAGAAATCGGTTCAGTAGTTTAGGCATGAAGAAAAGACAGACAGACAAGCAGACAGACAGACAGAGTTACTTTCGCATTTATAATATTAGTTTGGATGTCGGCAAACGAACAGACGGATTACCTGACGGTAAGCAATCAGCGCTGCCCATTAAAACCCGCAACACCAACAAGAGTTCCGGGTGCGTTGCCTCCCTTTTAGGGATAAGGGTTTCAAGGGTGGTTGTTTTACGCCGGTTTTCGGTGTGGCCGTGGTATCACTCCGGTCGAGCCGACCCATTCGTGCCGAAGCTTGGATCTGCCACACTGTGCTATTTCAATTAGAATAAGTAATGAATGCCGTTATTCAACTTCGTCGAACAACATAGAAAAGGGTTTGTCGAAGTTATAAGAGTATGAATCAAAACTGGTCCTAGTTTTTGTGTAACAATATTAACCTAATAATTGCCTCTTTTATGGTCAGCGTGGGCGAGCCTTTATGGTTTTCTTTTGTTTAAGAGTAGTTATGTCTATTGTTAGTATGTGATGTACTGTAAGCATTATGTAGGAAGTAATATATATTAATTTACGCTATGAATTATTTGAGCTGCATTCACTAAAAAGTTTTTATTAGTTTAGTTTTTAGGTACCTACTATTATGTTGTATTCTACAAAGCTTCAGTTAGACACATCTAACATATAACAAGAAAATAAATATTAGTTCGATGTTCTGTAATTTAGATTACGATGTGTCTGATAGAACGCCAAACGAGCAGACGGATGACCTGATGGTAAGCTATCGATGCCGCCCATGAACACCCGGAACAGCAGAGGAGTTCGAGTAGAGGAGGGGAAGGATTTTGCCTTCAGTAACCCTCACTTACACGTGAGGACATGGTATAACTACGGTCGGGCCGACCCATTTGTGCCGAAACATGGCTTACCCACACTTTTGAAATAGCATATAAATATATGTTTTAAAATAAATATTTGTATCGTATCCCCATTCCGTTTCAATCCTCCATTACCTCTCTCAAACAGATTACTGTACATCCATGTATCTACATGTAAAATTTTCTTTTGGAATTTAATATATCCCCATTCGTATGACTAGGCATATTATGGCTTTATTAAAGAAATGTCATATTGCGTCGTTCCCAAGTTTTCGTTCCATCATTTTCCGAGTTTTCCTCCTGTGCTTGTGTTATTAGGATTCGAGTGATACTCGAATATAAGTTGCCAACTGGGTATTTGTTTCTTCTTAGTATGTTTTGATTGAATGTAATAAGTAAACGTGAAAGTTTTTGTCTGTATATAGTTGAAAGTGTTACAAAAAATGTCACGGGTTACACTGAAGTTGATTAGGAAAATATTGTCATAGGAATCGATGCAGCCATTTAACAGAAGTTCAGTGACTACTCTAATACCATATTGGTTGAAAAGGTAAACCGTTAACTGGCTCTATATATAGTGCAAAGAAAAGTAAATATATTAAACATAAAAACGCTTTCTATAAAAAAACGGTTATTGATATGATAAACGGAAAATCCAAGGGAATACGAAATGAGCTCGCAATCGGGAGCCGTGGTTGAACTTTTAAGTTAAGGGGCCCCGACTGAAGCTACTTTTATTACTAACTTACTTTCCAATCCCTTTCATTTTGATTTGAACGCTGAATAAAATTATTTTTCTCGTCATCACGTCATTTAATTATTTCAGTGTAAATTGAGATTTCAGTGTAAATTGAGATTTACACTGAAATAATTAACCATCTCGTTGCTGTAGAAACATATTGTAGTTCCATTTTTAAATTTTTGAACATTGCTGTAATTTTATTTTTTTATTTATTTATTATCAACATACAACTATTATCACAGGAGTTTCTTAATACAATAGTGTAGTGACATTACAAAGAAATACATAACAAACAAAATCGAAAACAATACAAAGAAACCTTACTTAATAAGGATGTGACATATTGAAAATAAATTGTATCCAGAAATTAATTTATAGAAAAATAGCAATACTCTTTCATTGATTGATTTATTTTAAGCTTGCTTTAATACTTTTTTTGTCTTATTTTAGAGAAATGATTATTTTTGAAGCAAAAGTTATGTCGTCATAATTTTGTTTTCTCAGAGTACTCATTCTTTTTTCTTTTCAGCTCTATTATCCGATGTACATTGATAAGCTGGATTCTAGTCGCGTGGTTAACCAAACATATACGCAACTGATACCAAGTGAAGTTTGCATTACAAACTGAAACTGAACCTTTCGAAATATAAAGGGGGTAATGCTATGTGTGTTAATCAAACAAAAATGTTGTTCCATTGATTGCTGGCAGCTTTAATGTGTTATTTTCCTCGAATCCCTTTGTGCGAATAGTTAATTGAATATTAATACAGCGCTGCGATTTCAATTAAATTCCATCGACTGCCAATATTATTAAAAATATAATTAACGAGCTCAATGTGATTGTCATTTTATGCAGAACCTTATTCTTCAATAGGGTGATTTGACTTGAAAGTTGGGAACCCTATTACTTATTTGTTTATGTCGATGCAGATTGTAGAAGGCATGGCATGTAGGGGCGAGAGAGAGAGAGTGTCAGACTCTTATTGACAAAAAAAATCAATTCTAAGCTCATTCTTCTGCTAAACATTACTATATTATTGCACATGCTCACCCACAACCCCGGATGATAGAACCCTGTTTATCGATTTTACAAAGTCAAAGTCAAAATCATTTATTTCAATTAGACCCATACAGGCACTTTTGAACGTCAAACAAAATTTTAAAGATATAAAGTGTCAGTCTGTCGGTCAGTCCTCTTAGTGAAGCTATTCGCTCGTTCCAAAGGAGTTTTAAAGCGAATAGTTATTTAAAATCATAAACAGAAATCATCGTTACTCATCCAATACATTGCTATTTTAAACATCATATAATAACTTCATTAACGTCTCTTTCTAAATTAATTAATAAAGTTTATGCAAAAAGATATATAATTAATGTAATAGTTAAAATGAATAATTAAACTTATAATATCACAGAGAAAAGACAGCAGATCATTATTTATAATTGTTTTGAAACTTTGTCGTGCTAATTGTGTATATTAATTCTATTTAATTTTATCCAATCTATACTAATGTTTTTAGATGTAGGTAAAAATGAAAAACTCGTGTGGCCCGGAGGTTAAGGAGCCCGCTTCTCATGCATGAGGGTGTGGGTTCAAAACCTGGCAAGTACCAATGTGACTTTTTCCGAGTTATATGTACTTTCTATGATTTATTTAGACACCACTGCCATACGGTGAAGGTAAACATCGTGAGGAAACCTGGACTTATAATTTCTAACTATAAGTTTGAAATCGCCAACCCGCATTGAGCAAGCGTGGTGATCAATGCTCTAACCTTCTCCGTACGAGAAGAGGCCATTGCTCAGCAGTGGGCACTTATAGGCTGATGATGAAGGAATAGAGCATGTGGTGTTAGCTTTTAACCTTCCGGTCTTGGTAAGTAATATGAACCGGCTGCCGGTTCGCCTGTGGTTTGATGAATAAACTAATTATTACACATATAAATGCATTACTCTTGTGTAAACTTAAAAATTGTTGGTTAACCTTAAATGAATAAATAAATAAATAAATTTTCTTAACACCTTCAGATTTATCAGATTCTATTTTTAATCAATAATGCCTTTAAAATCTAAATTCGTCGACGTTCTTACATTAGAATTCACAGTCTATTCAGAAGACAATTTACACCGGGTTATTTAGTACCAAGCGATTTGATTACTTAATGCGTAGGCGATAAGAGTCTTTGTTCGATTTATTCAAAGAAAGCCACCTACTTGATTAAGGCGAGAGATTTTCCATTTATTCCAGATTCTGAATGTGTGATTGACTTAAGATGGCTATCGAAGTAGTTGGGAATACTGGAAATATTTGATTGCCATCCGTTTAAAGTAGAATTAAAATTTTATATTAATAGCATAAACTTATTTTGTATGTAGTTGTAGGTAGGTATGTACAAAACACGGGGTTGACATCAGTATTTTTAAATTGAAATTGTAGTATATGTATTTGGCTGTATTTTGAAGTAGCCTCATAAGCTGTTGCTAGATCTGTATTTATGTATAAGTAATACATTTACATTACATATTTTGGATTTTCTAGTAAAAGTAAATGTATTGTTCTTATTGAAATACCGTAGCCCACTCACTTAAACCTACATTACAAACCGAATGATCCAATGTGTGACTGTACAAGATTTTTAATCTGTGCCACATTTCTTTTAATCTACATCACGACCCTTAAAATGCACCCCACTACTTACATTAAAATAAAATTAAACTAAGAAACTGGGTTTATGAGAGGACACATAAGAAAAAGAAAGAAACAGTAAAAAATGTTTAATATTCTCACATTTTATTTCGTGTCTGCGCTTAATTGGTTGTCTTGCAGTTAAGTGAAGGCTAAAGATGTTACTTTTTTAATTATGTGGTAAACGTAGCCGAGTTCTTTTAATGGCTGGTGCTGTATGCAACATTTTAGAGGCTACAGTTTTACATTTTACTTACGGTGGGGATAAATATAAGCCCCTAGCGTGGCTTGAAACTAATCGACTTGTTTCTCGGAGTTAACTAATTATTACTTGTTTTGAGTTTAAATTTAAAAACTAATTTACTAGAGATCACTGTCAACAATGTCATAGGCTATAGGACAAGTCCTAAGTACTTTATTATAAGAAACAAAGTTAGTAAAAAAAATTGTGGTACAATTAAGTAGATAACTACTGTTAAATAAACAACATCTATAAAAAATCCTTTATTGATAGTTTTCTTGTGAAAAGACATACTAATACACGAGGAAGCTCTAAGAAGTATGACGTCGCATGAAGCGAAGGATGCAATTCATTTGATCACAATGTCGTCTTACCAGCTTATATTTTCATTATGCGTGGTCTTATGCACTGGAGATACTTAAGAAGAATACTGGACATCTTTAAGCAGTTATATATACTTATAAAAATGATCAGCATTCTATTTTTTTGTATAAAAAATATACTTGTCTTAACGTTTTTATCTATTTTTTTGCGATATTTATCTAGTATAGAACATGATATTTAGCAACATTCATTTCAAATTCAAAAGAAAATACTACAGTCTTAAACCATTTTAATTCACAATTAGTAGCAATCCTCCTAAATCTCAAATAATACCAAAGTAATCCTAACTCAAAAACTCGTATAGCCTAGATTATAATTACAAGGAAACATTGTAGAACAGTAATTAAATGTTGTTATTAAGCCTTGTAGGTTTGCACAAGGATAATATAATTAATTCGAATGGGTGAGCATACCGCGTTTAATGTCGTGTTCAGCGTAAAATGTGCAATAAATCACTCGGCAAACACTTTAGAAGTGTGAACGGGATCTTAATGGTCGCAGCATTAATAGATCTGCATAGCGTTAATCAAACTGAAACTATTTGGAGCGGGATTGCAATTAGCCCCTTTTCTAAACTTAGTTATACTGATCTCTTGTAACTTCTGAGTACCTAGTACCGTGTTTCGTGAACTATTTTTGGGTCTAGTAATTTAGAAATACCTAGCTCTGACGAAACCTGGATTTCTAAGTCTAGACGAAAATGTAATTATTCAGTAATGCTTTTAACTTTTGTTTTGATGTTTGTTTTCTATTTACAAATACAGAATGTGCGAGTGTGTTTTCTTTGATTTCGATAATTAAATAAGATTGTTATGCAAGTATTAAAACTTTTTATGTAGACGCAATTCTATATTGAACATATCCATAGATTTGTTTTTTCACGTGACAGTTTTACTCATTCAGCGTAACATAATCTTGAATATGTTATGGTTATGTCAACCAGTGCTTTGATAAAATCATACAGCGATCACCATCCATCTGCCAAACATATTAAGCATGTCATTTTGTTGGCTGAACCTTTTGTTGTGCAACGTAAATCAACCATAGAGGTCGGCTATAAGAGCTTTATCGATGGATAATACAATGTTTACGCTTCTTTGCTTGCAGGAAAAACAAAGTTCTTACCTGTTACTCATAAAAGGTATGTCGATACCGATGAAACTTTCACGATAACAACCTATTTGTTGCTACTTCATCACCAAACTCTTGTTTCGAACTTGGTCCTTTGTTACGCTAAGATTAATTGTTGACATCTCACAATTTTTCCTTCTTATACCATCATAAATCTATGTGGAGTGTGAAGTACGTTTACGTAAACACTAGACGAACAGATGGTCTGGATTATTCTGTAACTTTCATCTCGGAATACACGAGAGGAGATATGGAGCTGGGAATGTTATTGTATAAAGTGACGTATCTCCGTTGAAATGTGGTTTGCAAATGTACATGAGCCCTAACAAGTGGGTTTCAAGTTGAACCAAACATCCTCTCGGTGGATTAAAATCTTTGCAAATATTGCCGGTGACATCTGTGTGCACGGCCGCACAATGGAGTGTCAATTGAACTGGACCCGAGGACCGTGCGCCGAGAATTTATAAAATCTGTACCGGTGCTCCAACCGTGTGACATGATTGTTGAGGACTATTTAAATGTTATTTTTTACACCATGTGTAGAGTCAATATTTTAATTAATTTACCGCACTTCGAAGTGTTGTTAACAGTTTTACATACCCATATTATCTCTAGATTGAGTGTATTTATTACCACCGCCTTATATTTCAATTCAATGCACGTTTTTGAAATGGACTACTGTAATTTTTTTTATATTTAAAAAAGAGTTTGACTCTGACTATGTTTATGTTTACAGTATATCTGACTATGTTTCTGATTATGTTTACAGTAAACTTAATTCATTGAAAGGTGTATAGTGTTTTATTCCTTGACAAAAGGAATTTTAATTTAATTTAAAGTAATTAAAGTTAGTGACAATGGTTTTAAATAAATATGGCCTACCGAATAAGAAATTGAGCATGTGGTTATTACGTGGCCTTCATTCGGTTTGTAATAATTCATCAGCGCATAATCAGCGCTTGAGGTCCAAGTGAAAATTAAGTGCTTCAAGCGCTTTATGGCCTGGAACGATGTAGCGATGTATTGCTGTGGACAACATTTTATTTCGCTGTAAACGCTTGCAACTTTTCATTGGTGTTTTGAGGTTTGCTGGGTATAAAATAAAATGAGCTTGAATGTTATTTAGTTTTGTTATAGTCATTCGGTTCGCTGGAATTTTATAATTCTTATTTGGCTCGGTATATTTTATTTCACTATATTTATGATGGTTGTTTAATATTTCGTAAGTGCTGTAAAATGTATGAAATTTGTAAATGTATATTGAATTAAAGTATAAATGGTATTCATTCTACCGAATGCCTGACTTTATAAGGATTAAGCAGAAAAATAATGATAATATTTTTTCTTAATACTTTAAATTACTTACATAGAAAAAGTGGGGCCTTCTACGAAACACATCGTTTTTCAAAACTTCGTACCTAGCTACTTTCAATTTTTACGTCGGAAAACGGTCGTACATATTACCTGATGGTAAGTAATGGGCCCATCGACACTCGCAGAACCGGACGAGTATTAAGTGCAGGAGAGGCATGCTTCGGCACGAATAGGTTGACTCGAGCGGAGTGATACGACGGACTTACAGAAAACCAGCGTAAAACAACCACAGCATTGTGTTTCGCCGAGTGACTGAAGTTCCTTCACCTCCCCCAATCCCTAAATCTCCAAATCGCTCATCTCCAAAAGGTCGGCAACTCATTCGTAACTCCTTTGTTACATAAAAATATGTGCGTTGCCGGACTTTGGGGGTTGTAGGTTTGTGGAGGAATGATGAAATGAGAATGATAGGCCGCTGATAATCTCACTGTGTGCGTAACACAACGCTGTGGTTGTTTCACGCCGATTTTCATATATAACACCGGTTGGGCCGCTGATAAAGTCTAGTTTTCGAGCGCTCAAGAAACAATAATATTTTGTACGTAATTACGTAATACGTACGTATCTAATCTCTATTTAAAAGTATAACTGGCATCAAACCAACAACTTAAAGAACTGGCTGGAGACATGGCATTAATCAGATACATATCAAGCAATTCAACCAACACGACAGTTAAAAAAAACAAATTAAAAGGTATTCGATAAAGGTTGAAAGGTCAGTCGAGTTCATAATTACATAATGTCAAGATCTTCAGAAAGTGAGTTATCCGTCTTAAGGGACGAAAGCCGTTGGTCAAACATTTAAACTTTGACGTTCAATGTCAGAGTAGTAGAAACTTCGTAATTGAAAACTTAAGTAAGGGGTTTGTCATGAAATATTCGTCAAGACATTTTTGTATTATCTCGAAACGTTTAATGGTAAAGAAACTATACAAGATTGGGAAAATTAATAGTTTTTTCGGTGGAAGTTTTTTCTTTTTGTCATTGTTAAAATGTCATCAAATGACTTTTTCTCACTCAGTGTAATGCGAGAGAGAGTGTCAGACTCTAACTGACTAAAAACCCTGTTCCTTCTCCTGCCCTAGGCACAGGCAACGGCAGGTATCTTGTTGCTTTTGCTCCGTTTGTGGTGGTCTGTTGACTCTTTGCAGCGCGTGTGGAACGCTACGCGCCATACACTCGTGTCTGGTTCTGGAGGCGAGTTACCCTTGCGTGCCGTCCGCAGAGCTGCGAGAATATATTACCTGAGAATTAAGTACTAATGCAAAACACAGTTGTTCTGAAATATTACTAAGAAAAATAAAATACTTATCTTGAATTCAGTCTGGAACACTTGTTACGTACAAACCGTCAGTCAGTCTAAAATACGAGCATGAGTAAAAAAAATCCCTTTCAAAATTATTCCGAAGTTTTCTTTTAAAATTTCGGCCGAAAAGAAACCCTTTGCATTTTTTCGTACCCTTATTTCTTTGATGATATTACTATGCAAATGATTGTTCCTCATTAAAATATAATTTTATGCTACATTTTTATTTTGTTCTGAAGGCTTAGAAAAAATCTGTTCAGGCTTTAGTCCGCTAGGCTAGACTACAAAGAGCATGGTGTTAGGTTATGTATGCAGATTGAGCAGTTTTTTTTGAACCATGAGGGTTTATCATCGGAGGTATGTAGCCTCGAATGGTATACATAATTATGATAATGATACAAATACCTTAATGAAAAAATATGAAGGAAGATTGGTATAAATTTGGTCCTATGGACTTCATAGTTCAAAAATAATAATAATGAAATAATATACTTATGTATCAATATTGGTCAGGGGCAGGGGTTATAGTATTTCCATAGTTATCATATCCACCAGTCCATAGTAACCCACACCTATAATCCTATCAATTTTTACCACATTTCACAATAGTCCTGCATCAACCGGGGATTGTTCGTGGGTGATTCATACAGGGATAATTGCCGGCTGATGTCCCATCACATTTAGATTAAAACTGTTTAACGGGCCTCAGCGAGTTGGCTTCGGCTCCTCGTACTCCTTCCAAAGATCCGGGACCCTGTGGTCCCTTGAAAGGAAAGAACATAATACTTATAATCATTTTGTGTATTAAATCTTAATGAACGAAAATTTAAAACTTATATTAAACGCGAATTATGTAGACAGGCATACTACAAACTTTCAGATTATATTGAGGATAAGAATGCCTGGCAGCATGTTGGTTCGGCTCTACTGGACAATTCTCAAATATGTAGTCAGTAGTTATTGAAATTCTCAAAATTAATGAAACCTTGAATGAGGTTATATAGAAGCATTCTTTTGGATTGTGAGTACGCATATGTGAGCGCCATGTTCGAGACAACAAAGGATTAAAATTTTAATGATAGATTAGATAGACCATCATTTGTTCCTTTTTATTAACAACTTGTCTCTGCATTGTTCTCACATAGGGGTACAGTAATGTATAAAAAATGTATTATTGATGAATTGTAAAACAAATATTTTTTTAAAAAGAGTAACGATGGAGTTTCTTGCTCGTTCTTCTCCAGTCGAAACTACAATTTGGAACGAGCACCTAGCTTCACTGACGAACAGACTGACAGACTACTATTCTATTTTGACGTTTCAAAAGTACCTAATTATGATTTATTTGGAATAAATGATTTTGATTTGATTTGGGACTAACTTTTGCATTGAAAGT